ATGGAGCTAAAGTAAATCATAGCTACAATTTAATAGTACTTAAAAAATTGGCCATTTTAAAATAATTGTCAAGGTGTGTTGATTGATTGATTGTTTAAGGCAATCAGCTGAGTGCTAAACCATTGGATCAGCATTTTCTCACGCCCCTCTGCTCTCTTACATTTGAGTTAACAGTACTATCATCAGGCAGTGAACATTCACCACTTTTTAACATTAAGTCCTATTCTTTGTAATTTTCTTTAACATCTTTTAATTATCTCCACACCTATTGCCCCATTGGAAGAAATACAGAGAAGTCTGTCAGAAACACGGTTTCTCATATTGGTTCTGCTACCAGCAAGCTCTATGATCAAGGCATTTATTTTTTCTGAACTTTTTCTTTCCCCTCTGATATATGGGACCAATAAGAATCATCATAAATCCATCATTTGGACTTAAAATCAGTGTGTAGGAAGGGCTCTAAAATATCTAAAGCACTTTCAAATTTCTGAAAAATGTGGTTCAATTGAGTAATTCTTTAAATTTCCCTCTTGTCTTTGAATATATTTATCTAAGTACTAATTTTATTTATTATTTTTAATAAATTATTTGAAAGATAAGGTTGGGGTGCAGGTCTTCAATTTACTGGTTCACCAATCCCCAAATGCCTCTGACAGTCAGAAATGAATCTGTCTGAAGCCAAAAACCAGACACTTCATCTGGGGCTCCCGTGTGAATGGAACTGGAGGCATCATCTACTGCCTCCCACAATACACAGTTAGCAGAATGCTGGCTCAGAAGCAGAAGCAGGACTTGAACCAAGCAGTCTGATGGAATACAGGCATCCTGCACAGCAGCTTAACTTGTGTCTCACTGCTCAACTCCTATAAGTACTAATTTCTTTCTTTAATATTTGTTTATTCATTTGAAAGGCAGAGTTACAGAGAGGCAGAGAGAGAGAGAGGCAGAGGGAGAGAGAGAGAGAGAGAGAGAGAGAGAGAGAGAAAGAGAGGTCTTCCATCCACTGGTCCACTCCCCAGATGGCTGCAATGGCCAGAGCTGCACTGATCCGAAGCCAAGTGGCAGGAGCTTCTTCCTGGTCTCCCACGTGGGTGCAGGGGCCCAAGCTCTTGGGCCATCTTCTACTGTCTTCCCAGGCCAGAGAAGAGAACTGGATTGGAAGTGCAGCAGCTTGATCCGGCTCCCATATGGGATGCTGGCACGGCAGGCGGCGGTTTTACCCGCTATGCCACAGTGCTGGCCCCATTACTAATTTCAAAACAGTAATTCAATATGGCTTTTTGGGTGAACCTAAAAGTCAGTTCTAGAAATGTTCCATCATTTCAAAAATTCAAATTTTAACATTCCTGATGCACACAAAGCAGTACAAATCACAATGATTTTAGTAGACAGAACTTGTTGAGGCCCTGTATGAAATATATCTCTAATTTTATTATATAGCAGATAAAAATCTATAATAACTATGGTAATACGATCTATTCAAACACAGCATAAGTGTTGGGGGGCAGACATTCATGTGTTTCTTTCATATCTTATTCAATCTATAAGCTACATGACATCAGAAATTAATGAATCTAAACATCTGAAATATTTACATTTTTATTTGCTTCTCTAAACTTCGCCACCTAGTTATAATCTATAGCTGGAATATACATCACCAAGATGAGAAGGCCAAGCAAACAGTGGACACTGTAAATAGTTGATGAAGTTGATATATATGTATAATTTATATATTATATGCTTGTCTGTATTCATACATCATAATAATTATACCAATCTATCTCTATCATCCTACACAATTTGATTTATTTAGTAATATTATCTAAGAAATTTCGAGCCAAAACACTTGTGATCTATAAGATTTATGACCAAGGATTAAATAGATAAATCACCAAGGAAATTATCACTGAGCCTTATACTTCAGATGAAGGTTGCAGCAACCTCTAGTTCCTTTTTTCCCCCTGAATAATGTGTGAAAAAGTCAGATCCATTCTTCTGGATTATAGGTGGGGTATATTCAATGTATGCATGGGATGTATCTAATTCAGATGAAAATGGTAATGATTAACAAACAACTCTTAAAACAGGCTAGTTTCCTTAGGCCATTAAATGTCCCACTGTTAAATAAAATTTTTAAATTTCAGGTTATTAAGCCAAAATAGATAATTCTCATTACAACTGTGTAGTTAAATGGTGATAATTTTCTAAATTATTTTAAATTTTAAGTACTTAATAACTCTAAGCACAAAACTTTTAGGGTTTACAAAATAAGAATTATTACTATTCCCTCTTTCTACTCATAAAAAGGTCACATTTAAAGCTGGAATGTAAAGTATGTTATTACTGGATTCCTTATTCTACTGCTAAAGATAAAATTATTATTTAATAGTTTAATAATTACTTTAATGAAAAGCACCTTGAAAACTGAAGAATCATTAAATACTTGATGCTATAGGTATTATTACGATATTGCCTTTATTTTACAAAATCCAGATAATAACTATGCCAAACTGGAAGATATAACTTAGGAATCATGATTGGGCTTTGGGATCCCAATGCCTTTGGCACTGAAGGATGGGGCGTAATCCTTGCTTAGTTTCAGAAGCAATGCAGAATCTATTATCAAAGCAGAAGGAGAGCAAATATACATACAAAGACGGCTCATGAATGTATCTCATCGCCCAAGCTAAACTTTCTCCCCAACACCTTCTCTTCATTTATAGTGATGTCAGTGCAACTTGCGATTATCTCCACAGAGTCTACATACTCAAGCCACTGTGCTTGCAAAATATATTGGGATGGGAATCACATGGTTCCCCGAACAGCCAGCTCTGACGGACTGATAGCTGTACTAACGCCAGAGAGACTTCAACTGAGAAGGAAACGTGAGTGACTGAGCAGGTGTGATCCTTCTGCTTTCCCCAGTACAAGTGACTGTTGAACAATGAGCTTCATGTCTATATGGATGGCTTGGAGAATGCCTTTCAGCCACAACGAATGAGTAGGGCTTCCACTGTGTGGTGCAACTCTTCACATGTATGCCAGAGAGCAAGTTCTGTATTATATTATGGCCAAAATAGGGCTGAGGATCCATTAATTATGAATTAAATTTACTTATTCTTCTCTATTCATTATTTTCCTATAGGTTTCTCCCTTGCCTACTTCCTGTTACCTGGCAGCCTTGGCTGCTAAAGGATCTTCACTTTTGTGCTTATCCAGACTCATATCCTAAGCTCTGGAAACATTTCACTTACTATTTTCTCAGGACCTTGTAATGCAACTTGAATTACCTGGAGGATTAACTGTTTTTTAGTATTCTTACTTAAAATTCAACATGCATATTTTTAAATGACATTCATAATGGAGATCGCAGAGGATGGGAAAGCATATGGATGTGAAAGCCAATTTTGAAATCTAATAATAAGGCTTTATGACTCTGGACAAGTTGCTTAACAACAGCCAACTCGTAAATTGAGCCCACTGTGTGGAATCAGTGTTCTAGGTGTTTTACATATTTCAGTTCTGTAACTCTCACCGTTACTCCAAGAGAGGTCATACTTACCAAAGCCAACAATGAGAAGACTGAGGGAGAGTTTAAGTACCTTCCCCAAAGTCATATAGTTAGCCAATACAGAACTGAAGAGTGAAGCCAGAAATTCTGGCCCCGGAATTGGCACCAGAGTGTCATTTTCCTACTTGTATCTTCAACTATTAATCTATAAAATGAGGATAATAATATGTATCTTATGTGGTTATTTTTCAAGGTAAAATAATACCAAAGAGAGTGCTTGGCACAATACCTAGAATACAAAGATATTTCACTAAATATTAGTTCTTTCTCTTTCCCAAACAATAACTAAGGTAGAAAATTCTGAAGAAAAAGGATTAGGCTGAATGGTAGGAGACACAGTTCTAATGAGGACTTTTAAACTTAATGACAGAATTATTCTCAAGTTTTAGTTTGTAGGATTCGTGAAAACTACCAACATGGAACCATGTTAATTCAGATCACCCTAAGAACTCAGAAGATGAACTATTTGATGAAAATTTCACATTAAAAGACATATTTGATGTCACTTTAAAAATACTTTAAATTTTCTCTTTTAAACATCATCACAGCATTTAGAATTAGTTTGAAAGCAGAGGATACTTACCAAGCACTTAATAAAGTTCACCAAAAATGAAATTCCTTTTATTAAAAATCAAGCTATTTAAAATTGTTTACTAGTAAAAATTATTGATTTTGACTCAACATTGTATGCTCCATTTTTTTAAAAATTGGTTTTAGGGTCCATTTTCTTAGAGGGTTGCCTCAAGGAAATTAGAATTTTAGCAACTAAAATAGAGCATTCGACTAAAAGGTAAGGGAGCAGAGGAAGCTAAACTGCATTTTTATATCATTTTTTAAATGTCTATTCTAAGAAAATATTTTTCTTGGTGAAAAACTTAAAAGAAAAAAAATGAAAGATGATTAGCTAGAGAATTACATAAGTTGGAATTAATTTTCTTAGATCCAAACGGTTTACATAAAGATGGTAATGATCACCATAGTTCAATACTCATATAATCTATAGCAATAATATGTACCGTTTAAGCAATGACAAGCTAAACTATGTGTAACTGAGCGATAGTTTTCTAGCTTAAAGGTCAGTGAATTTAATACTTTCATTTTACCTCCTGAAAGATTTCTGATTTATGCAAGATTCGCAAATTAATAATTTGAGATCAGGAATGAAAATGAACACATTTACATCAGCGGTTTCTTTCATTAAGGTATGATATTGATGATGATGACGATGTGTACATGTGCTTTCATAAGAGAAGTCAGTTCTATGGAATTGGTGTAAAAATCTAATAGAGTCCTATCTACGTAGTATATCACCATAACTAGAGTCAAACTATTAAAAATCCTAGGAACAAACAGGTATAGCTTACAGTATCTTCCCAAGAAATTCATGCACAGACACCAAACTCCTTAGTGCAGTAAGCTTGCTACTCACTTGTTGGAGGGAATGTTGAGTGGACAGGCACAGGGCTGACAGTCCTCGGAGGTTCCTTTAGTAGGATCACCATAGAAACCAGGAAGACATTTATCGCAGTATGGGCCACCCGTGTGATCCTTGCAGTTCTGAGAAAGAGAGCACATCAGACTTTGTTGTTTTGGTCTCAAGCAGTAACATGTTGCCGAAAAGCAGGTCCGCAAAGTCATTAGTCTGTTTCCCCACAAGGAAGAGCAATTTTTCCACATTAAGTGGTCAATTTTACAGCAGGGAAATAGCACCAAATGCTAATTTAATTTCTAGCTTATAAACTGCATACAAGTATATGCATATTCACAGAGATGACTGCAATTCATTATCCATGTTTTCATCATTCAAATATAATTCCCTTTTTTTTTCTGTAGTTTTAAAGTTTTTTTTTTTTTTTTAACCTAAGGATAGAGATATGAGTGTGTGGTGGTCAAAGAGTCCTAATAACATACATTTCATGGATATTGTTGCTGATTCTAGGTAAAGTCAGTTGTTCAGTTTAAAATTGGCAATTTAATGAGAACTGTAGCTAATTATACAAGTCCTCTGGGACTATGCTCTCTTGGCTTAGATGTTAATTTTGACCTTATTGAAATCTGATGATTTGAACAATATCTTCTTCTATTACATTTGTTAGGAGATTGCTTGACTCATAATTAAACCCTGAGAAAATTGAAAAAATTCAAAACATACAGCAATATATAATGAAATCACAAGGCACATAATTTTCCCAGACATTTTTAAAAAGAGTGAAATCGCATTTTTCCGCTTATTAGTAACTTTCAGACTCATTTTTCTCAAAAATAAAAATAACTTATGTCTTGGTTTCTTCATATGAACTAAAATACATTTCTCAAGTCAGGCTGTGCTCATAAAACTCATCAAGATTGGTACAAAAATGAAAAATTCAGTAAACAGAGCAGTGAAATTATCTTTAAAGCTTCCAATAGCACAATTTGATGAATTTTTATAATGGTTTGGCATCATTTAGGTGTAACTCTAATCTCCAATAAATTGCTATAAAATACACCCAGTCCTTATTAAAATCATGGATACTTTATTGCTAAGAGTTTTAATTTAATAAATATATACAGTTATAATTTACCCCACACTGAAAATTCAACAGACCTCATGTATTAATAACCTCTATTTTTATGATCAATCACAGACTTTGTGAAGAAAATCATTAAAATATAAATTAACTTTAAACAGAGAGTAAAAATGTATTAATCTGGATGACCACAGGAATGGACAGAAATCAATGAAAATTCCAAAGTATCATTTATTTAAATATATTTTAAAATAAGTTAAATTTGAATTATATCAGGCAAGCAGATTAACAGAAACCAAGTAAATATTCATTTTTAACATAGCTTATATGGTGGCAGGAAAGCAGATTTATTTACCTAGGGGAAGTTATCAAAGTTGTAACTTAATCATTTAAATTCTTGAACCTCTCATTTCCTTTCTGTGAAATAAGGGAGCTAATTCAATGATTTTTGAGATTTTCAAGACCTTAAAACCCATTCCAGTTTCATCAACTGTAATTGAATAGGTAGTTGTATTGAAACTGATGATATTGAAAATATTTTTCTTACTTTAAATTTTCTCTCCAATTTATTTAGCCAAAACTAAAAATATAGCAGAAAGATTAGCTTTACTATTAGCAGCTGTCCAAATAATATCACACAGGATGCACATAAAATGTAAATCAATTTGAAGAGAACTTTTCCCTTTGATTGGATCTTCATCTATTTCCTTTTGGTTTCCAAGTTTGGCTAAACTTAGCTATTACCAATGAATTGACTGCTGTTTTTTTTTTTTTTTTTTTTTTTTTTTTTGAAAAATTCTTTGCATATCCTCCTAAGTAAAATTATACCATCGAACACTTGTGGGCTTTTAAAAATAAGATCCTAAAATTGATCCCACCTTAACCAAGTTGAAAATTGTGTTTCTAAAACTCCAAGGAAAATACTGCATAACTTAAGACTCTGTATTTCTTCAACTACTAATTTAAAAAAGAACTAACATCAAGAATATTTTTAGACTTCTTAATGCTTTGTTTCCTTAAATGGATGTAAAATATAGATAATACAAAAATTTTTATAACCGAAACTATAAAACACCATTAGATGACCAATATGATGGGAATCAAAACTGAAAAAGATGAAAATTCCAGTCCACTGGGTGGTTATTTTGACAAGTGTCCTGCTACAAAGGTGCTTTCCAAATGGTTTTTTCACAGTCACAGATCATAAGAATGATAGGAAGGAGGGAGCACACAATCTTCCTATGTGGCTTGGAATGTTTTCCTCAGTCAGTTCCTATGCATGAATTAAAATGACCTTTGATACAGGCCTGCATGACAGCAGATGTCTGAGTTTTGCTCTGATGTTCGCAATGGATTTCAGTTGATTGATAATTTTATCTCAAAGCTAAGCTGTCGCTCCCCCTCTTCATGGAGGAACGACACTAAACCCTGCCTAGGCTTCATATCTGAGTCACGGCACCATTATGTCGCTCCCCCTCTTCGTGGAGGAACGACACAGGACCCTGCGCTGTTCTTTTGTCTGCTCGGCCCTCCCTGGGTTTGCTGCTGGTTCTTCCCGGGTTGGCTGCCGACCCTTCCACCTCCGTGGAAGGGTGGTTCCCCCTAGCCACTTTCCCCACTTCCGTGGGGGAGCGGCACACCGCCGGCTGCTCTCTCGGGGGCTGCACAGGTGTTCCTTCAGATAGATGTTCCCCTTAGATGTTCCTGGTGCATGTTGTCTCTCTCCTCCTTTATAGTCCTCTTCCACCAATCCCAACTCTGCTACCCACACGCCGAGTATGCTGCTCTCCTCCAATCAGGAGCAAGATCAGCTCCTGCAGCTCAGTCAATCAAATTGGCGAGAGGCAGCTGCGTAGAAGTTGTTACTCCCTTCTCAGTGCCATATTGTGGGAGAGCAGATGCATAGAAAAAGTCTTAATTCCAGTAACTTAGTCTAGTCCGAGTTGCTCCCCACAGATCCCCCTTTCTTTTTATTTTTTGGCATTGATACGCGCCTGTCTTCGGTGCCCCACGGCACACACTCTGCTCTGCTTGCTAGAGTTGCCCACAGGTGCTTACAAGCCCTACCAATCAGGCAAACCGAATCCGGGTCCTCTCTTCGCCATGTTGTGAGGAGGTTTTTAGGCGCTGATGCGTGCCTGTGTTCGGTGCCCTGCAGCGCATGCTCTGCTCTGCTAGAACTGCCTGCAGGTGCTTACAAGCCCAATCAGGCAAACCGAATCCAAGCCTTCCCATTGCCGTCTTGTGGGGAGACATTGATGTTAATTCGTGCCTGTCTTCGGTGACCTGCGGCGCATAAGCTGCTAGCCGCCCGCAGGTGCTCATCGCCTTACTAATCAGGCAGACCGAATCCAAGCTCTCTCATTGCCATGTTGTGGGGAGGCCTTACTTTTCTCTATTTTTCTATCTCCGGGCATTCCTATTTCTCCCATTTTACTTCTATCTGCCAGCATTCCTATTTCTCTCATTTTACTTCTAAATTTCTGTTTCTCTTATCCCTGCGGCTTCCCGGCGCCCGCCCCGAGGCTGCTTCTCGGCGGCTTCCCAGCTCTGAGCCGCTTCAGCCTGCGCTTCTCTCATCTGCGCAGCTTCCTGGCTTCGCGCGCGCACTCTGCGGTCCCCGCGCCCGCACCACGGCCTCGCACTAGCCCCACGTTCCCTATCTATTCACGCCCCGTGCTCTCTCTGCACGCGGCGGCTTCCGCGAGTCACACAGCGTAGCTCACGTTTCCGCCACCGGTATTCAATCTAAGTTCCCTGGGCTAACCTGGCGAATTCAACCTAGCTTACGCGTCTCCGCCTTATGGTTTGGCTTCCCGTCTTTTGCTCCCCGGGCTAATCTGACGGATTCCAACCTGGCCCACGTTTCCGCCTCTGGTTTAACTTTTCGCCTTTTGCTCCCAGGGCTGACTTGAAGAATCCCAAGATAGCTTACGTCTCCGCTTCGGCCTGCCCCCGCAGCTTCAATTTCCCTAACATTTTTCTCTACCCGGTATGTTTCCCTAAGTTTTCTTCCAACAATATTCCTCCCTCATTTCTCCTGGCTTCTCCCCACAGTCCGTATCCGAGTCTGTTTGTTCTAGCTTTCACTTTCGCTTTCGACCTTAGAGATTTCTCCCAGCTTCCCCCCGTAGTCCGTATCCGAGTCTATGCCTAGGCTTTCAATAGCTTCTTCTGGCAACTTTTTCGTCTGGCTTTTCCCTAGGCTCTTTGCTAATCTCTCTCTCTGGTATTTTCCCAGTTCTTCCCGTTTCTTCCCTCCTAGGTTTCCTATCCGAGTCACGGCACCATTATGTCGCTCCCCCTCTTCATGGAGGAACGACACTAAACCCTGCCTAGGCTTCATATCTGAGTCACGGCACCATTATGTCGCTCCCCCTCTTCGTGGAGGAACGACACAGGACCCTGCGCTGTTCTTTTGTCTGCTCGGCTCTCCCTGGGTTTGCTGCTGGTTCTTCCCGGGTTGGCTGCCGACCCTTCCACCTCCGTGGAAGGGCGGTTCCCCCTAGCCACTTTCCCCACTTCCGCGGGGGAGCGGCACACCGCCGGCCGGCTCTCTCGGGGGCTGCACAGGTGTTCCTTCAGATAGATGTTCCCCTTAGATGTTCCTGGTGCATGTTGTCTCTCTCCTCCTTTATAGTCCTCTTCCACCAATCCCAACTCTGCTACCCACACGCCGAGTACGCTGCTCTCCTCCAATCAGGAGCAAGATCAGCTCCTGCAGCTCAGTCAATCAAATTGGCGAGAGGCAGCTGTGTAGAAGCTGTTTTCTCCTCTCCCAGCGCCATATTGTGGGAGAGCAGATGCATAGAATAAGTCTTAATTCCAGTAACTTAGTCTAGTCTGAGTTGCTCCCCACACTAAGCTAAGCTGAAAAACACTTTATCTCTAATTTTTATGAATTATCTGTTTAGTGGGCAGAAAAAAAGAACCATGAAAAATAAAAAGGAAGCTAAAACACAAGGTCAGTTGAACAGTAAAATGTCCATGGGGCTGGTGTCATGGCACAGCTGGTTAAGGCACAGGTTTTGACATTGGCACCTCATATCAAAGATCTGGTTCAAGTCCCAGCTCTTCTGCTTCTGATCCAGCTTCCTGGTAATTGCCTTGGAAGGCAGCCTAAGGTGGCCCAGGTGCTTAGGCCTTTTACATCCAAATATGGAGATACTGTTTCTTGGTTTTTGCCTGGCCTATTCCTGGCTGTTGTGGGCATCTGGGGAGTGAACCACCAATGAGATGGTAGATATGATCTGATCTGATCTGATCTCCTCTCTTCTCCCCTCCCCCCCTCTTCTCCCCTTCTCCCCACCTTCCTTCCTTCCCCTACCCCCCCTCCCCACCCCCAAGCTCTCACTTTCTCACTTTCCCTCTTCCCCTCCCCTGTTTTCCTCTTTTCTAGTGCTCTGCCTTTTAAACATAAACCTTTAAAGAAAGAATGCCCTTGATGTGCAACATTCAAATATCTTTTTCTTTGTGGGTTATATTAGAATGAATCTGCTCAAAGGGGGATACCAGTACTTAGTTATCAATACCACTTCAGAGGAAGGGCCCTTGAAAGCACCCTCTGTGATCACATTGGTACCAGCTACCTAGGAAAGCCCAGAGCACACACAATCTGTTTCTTTCATCAGGACGCTCACAATGCTCCCAGGATCCCTCTGGTACTTGAAGGAGGATGCTTACAAGCCTGTCCATGAAACAGTCTCAATAAACTAAATTTTATTAATGGAAAACCTCAGATATCACAGCTCCCTCCCCCCTTTCTTGCAAAACAATGCTGAAAGAGATGTATTTTATTCTAAGAAAATGGCTTCCACTCTTAGACAAATGATATCAACAAATGGACCAAGAGCATGCCTCAATTTTATTCTAATGAATTTTACTTGAAATACTACTATAGGAAATATTGGGAATTTGGCATGGTGATAGATTTATTTTTGTCTTTTTTTAGGGTAAGTAAAGCAAATTCACAGCAGTTTTGAGCTGAATATTTTCTATTAGATGTTAGTAGAGTGTTTTAGGGTAATTCAATATTTTTCCCATGGTATATTTTAAAAGGCCTGTGGTATAATTAAAATCACTTATTTTTTACTCATAAAAATACCATTTAAAAAACCTGATCCACATATTAAGGCCACCATACTTTACATTGCAATGCAATTAAATAAAAACCTTATATAGAGAAAACAGAAAGAGCATCAATAAACCTAAATGCCAAATTACATAGAAACAAAAGCCCTGAATTTTCATTTTGGATTTTCCCAGAAGCTTTTAAGTAGCAGAGAAAGGGGGAAAAATGAGCGAGAGAACATTAAGAATTACTGATGCCGGAGTCTGCCTTAAATTCTGCAGGGAAATGAGAGTATGATATCCTCCTAAATTGGCACAGTTTCAAATTGTGTTTCTGCAAGACTAATGAAATGAGAAGTGTTGTTTCAAGCTTCATGCCATGTCAGACAATATAAAACTAACATGCCCTTGAGTTAATCAGAATGATCTATTCAGTATAATTCTCCCATCCAAAGGCTTCATTGCAGGATGGAAAATGCTTTGCACTTTTTCTGGTTAAAAGTATAGATTAATTATAGAAGCAGAAACAGCTCTGGTGAGTATTTATGCATTATATATATTATTTTATTATTTATTATTTTTTAATCTGTGCAGGATATTTTGTATGTATTTAAATATCTTGTATGTATTTAAAAGCTAAAAACTCAAAAACATTCAATATGCTATCAAATTGAATTATGTCTAAGATAAAGGTTATATTTTATACTTTTCATATAATGGGGGTATAAATCCTTTCCTATTTTAGAAGTACGATTTACTTTTGGTAAATTTGTGGAAGAGAGTGAAACCACATATATGCATGGTAGATACACATCTTAGTCACTAGTTCTGCTTTATGATGTATCTGATCCAAATTCAAGTCATAGATTAATATGAATAAATCTTTCCTCATACTTGCTGGGAAAATCCCTTATGAAAGAGCACTTTCCACTTCCAACTCAACGTGGTATAAGGCTTCAGTGATTAAAGTTCCAAAGGTAGCCACGCATTGCAAGGTCTGTAGAGCTGGTTTTAGCCTTGTGATCAAAATCCCCAAGGCAGAAGCACTTACCAGGCATTCTGCTGTGATGTCATCGCAGGATTCTGCATGCCCAAAGCACCGACATGGTTCGCAGATACCACCGTAAAGAGTGCCATTAACTCTTCTGTGCCTAGGCCAACAAGACTGAAAGAAAGGTGAAGTTTCAGTAAGTGTGGGGGACTAAGCGAAAAGGTGCTTTTGTAATAATAGAAAATAAATCAGGCAGCAAACTTCACAAGTCATGACATTTTCCATGCTGGTCAAAGCACTGCCATTATTGAAACACAGCTACAGGGCTACTCTTCATGACACTGGGGCTTTGTACTGACCTTAGTGTTACTTGCAGGTATGAGATTAGAGGAACTATTAGCTTGGTGCCTTTTCTGAAATGGTAAAATAAAGCACAGATAAAAAGAATTGAAAGGTGACAGTTTCAAAGTAAAAAGCACAGACAGGAAAATAAGAGGAAAAGTACTGGAAAACAAAACAAACAAACAAAAAAAAGCAGCAAACACAAAAGGACTGTTCAGAGAGAATCTCAGCCTAAGAAAACAGCCAATGTCATCCCAGGCAATTTTGATTCTTTGGAATGTGATCCTTTTCCCACATGCCCTGAAGTCCCTCACTTTCAGAAAATCTTTGCTGATCTGGAAGACAAGCAGTGCCCTACTCCTACACTTAACAACATGCACAGCTGATTTCCTTACATGTGTAATTCATGTATTTCATTCTAAATTCCCACCATACTGTTAGGCTTTCATGGATTTACAAAGAAAAAAGTTGGTGATTTATTTAGCATATATTCCCTTGATTATTTACAGTGTTATCCTACCATAACTTTGCTTCTATTCATGTCTCTTCTTTAAACCGGCGCCGTGGCTCACTAGGCTAATCCTCCGCCTTGCGGCGCCAGCACACCGGGTTCTAGTCCCGGTCGGGGCGCCGGATTCTGTCCTGGTTGCCCCTCTTCCAGGCCAGCTCTCTGCTGTGGCCAGGGAGTGCAGTGGAGGATGGCCCAAGTCCTTGAGCCCTGCACCCCATGGGAGACCAGGAGAAGCACCTGGCTCCTGCCATCAGATCAGTGCGGTGCGCTGGTTGCAGCGCAACAGCCATGGCGGCCATTGGAGGGTGAACCAACGGCAAAGGAAGACCTTTCTCTCTGTCTCTCTCTCTCACTGTCCACTCCCGCCTGTCAAAAAAAATAAAAAATAAAAAAAAAAATAAAATGGGGAACATTTCATTACATATAAATAGAATGCTGATTACAGCAGGATACTTGAATGTTAGACGTCCTACATGGCTGTGCTGCCTACACTCCTAATTAAGTTTCCTTTCTGTGAGAATTACTACAAAATGGAAGGAATGCAAAAGAAATGTGGGACAAATATTGTTGCCATCGAGGAGCTTATGATAACTCTCAAATGATAATTCATAGTTGTATATGATGGAATGTAACATTTTATACAGTGAGAAGGCCAATTTTTTCCAGTTGAAAATGGAAACAATAGAGAAACAACTGAATAATAAAGTATACAGAATCTTGTTCTGTACTGTTGGAAATGTTCCTTCTCCCCAAGATGTGAAAACTTTTAAATGTGAACATCAATAATCAATACATAATAATATGGCAATACTTCATATCTGAAAATAAGCTTTCCTCTTAATTTGGGCTTTCAAAATAGAAGGAGTCAATGTTTATTGGATCTTTATTTTATTTAAGGTAAACAAATTTCATGTATTTAACATACACAGATTTAGGAAAATGGCGATTCTTCCCACTCTCTTCTCCCTCCCCTCCATGTTCCCATCCTTCCTCCTCCTTCCTCTTATATTCCCCCTCTTGCTTTTTACAAAGATCTATTTTGCTTAATTTATACTCAAAAGATTAACCCTACACGAAATAAAGAGTTCAACAAACAATAAAATGACAAAAATACTTTCTCAACAGTAGAGACAAAGGTTATAAACAATCATCGGATCTCTAAATGTCCGTTTCGCTCCTGTACATTATATTTTTGGTACACTATTAATCACCACAGATCAGGGAAAAATATGGTATATGTGCTTTGGGAACTGGCTTATTCCACTGAGTACAATGGTTTCCAGTTACATCTATTTTGTTGCAAATGACATGATTCCATTCTTTTTTACAGCTAATATTCCATACCGTGTGCGTGTATGTGTATAATATGCCATAATTCCTTTATTCAGTCATCAGATGATGGACATCTGGATTGACTCCATATTTTAGCCATTGTGAATTGAGCTGCAATAAACATGGGGGTACAGGTAACTCTTTCATTGGCTGATTTCATTCTCCTGGATAAATTCCCAGGAGTGAGATGGCTGAGTCATATGGTAGACCTATTTTTAGATTTCTGAGGTATCTCCAGAATGTCTTCCACCATGGCTGTACTAGTTTACATTCCCACCAACAGTGGATTAGGGTACCTTTTTCCTCACATCCTAGCTAGCATTTACTGTTCGTTGATTTCTGTTTGAAAGCCATTCTAACTGGGGTGAGGTGAAACCTCATTGTGGTTTTTATTTGCAATTCCCTGGTGGCTAGTGAAGAAGGAATCCATTTCTTATCTCTTCCCAATAATTTCTCCCCATTAAAGTGTTTGCCTCCCTAGAGTATAGAGTGATTTCTTCTTTAAAATACACTCAGTGATGTTACGTAACAGGAAAGGGCAAAGGTTAAAGATGTTGAGAACTGGGAGAGTGCTGATGTACTGTTTTCAAGGCATTCATCTGTGAGGTTTTTCTTAATGTGATTTTTTGAATCCTCCACAAATATACTACCTGTTCTGCATCTTCTTTCTTCAAACTTCCCAACCCCTTACCCCTTACTCCTAGCCACTGATTTTGCCTTGTTAGTCAAAGGCAAAAGTAAAGGCACCAGATGCTGTTCCTCTGCCAAGTCTAGAAGCTTACGTGTTGCTCTCCACACATCATTATAATCCTCCCCTCTGTAACAGTAGGGGTGGGGAATACAGAATCCTTCCTCCTTTCAAAGGAGTATTATTCAACTTGAATCTGGATTTCAGTACCTGTTGTGTAACCAATATCCCCTCTCTCTGTTTCTTTAGCAGTAACATCTTTTTTATTTTATTTATTTATTCATGAAGTAGAGAAGGGGAGGGAGGGGGAAAGAGAGGATAGAAGGGTGTTCGCACACACACACACAGAGTGTGCACTTCTATCTGCTGATTCACTTCTCAAATGCCTGCAACAACTGGGGCTGGACCAGACTGAAGCCTAGAGCTAGGAAATTAATCCAAGTTTCCTACATGAATGGAAGGGACTCAAGCATTTGAGATATCATCTGCTGTCTATATTCACTAATGGTAACACCTTATTAGGGTGTTAATTTGCATATGCAAAAATCCAGAACAAGCCAATCAACTCTCGGAAGTATAAATGACAGTGAAGCCTCTGCTACTGAAGAACTGAGAATTAACCAGACACCCTTCAGACCATTAGCTTTCTTTACTACAGCTTTCTTCTTTCTCCTTAAAATTTGTTCCTGGGATCCGTCATCATGGTGAAGTTGGTTAAGCCAACCCCTGCAATGCTAGCATTCCATGTGTTATGGTTGAAATCCCAGTGGCTTTATTTCCAATCCAGCTCTCTGCTAATATGCATGGGAAAGCAGCAGAAGATGACCCAAGTGCTTGGGTCCTTGCCATCCCCATGGGAGACTTGGAAGAAGTTCTGGGCTCCTGGCTTTGTCCTGGCCCAGCCCCAGAAGTTGCCACCAACTGGGGAGTGAACCAATGGATGGAAGACCTTTATCTCTCTGTTTCTGCGTCTGTCTGCTCTGTGTCTGTCTCCCCTTCTAACTCTGCCTTTCAAATAAACAATAAATTGCTAAAAAAAAAAAAAAAAACAAACCCTGTGGTCCTATAAAATTAGATTTGCTTTTTGAATTCATGACAATATTTATTAATATGTGAAAATGACACTACTTCATAGTTTATCAGCTCAACGCATTTTGCTTTTGTTCAGTGACACTGAGAATTAAGAACGTTGTTGTAACTGACAATTAATTGCCCAGATAAAACAACAATAACCCAGATACTCCAAAATGGATTGCAGGCATCCATGGCATCTTAATCTCTAGGCCAAATGCCTCTTTCTTTCTTTTCTGTTGGATTCACTATCAGTTCAAAAACATGATCTAATGTTTTCATTAAAAAAATGACAAAATACCTGCTACACATCATGTGGCTTTTTCAATCACCTACCTGTTTTTCTTTTCAATAAAAATAATCTAAAAAATATCTTCTTTCTTGCTTTTACACACCATTCTATTTTATTCTTTCTTGTGCCACCACCACTTGATTAAAAGTATTCCTATTTTTCTCATCAAATATTAGGTAGCCAAACCCAGTGGACAGTTCTATGACTGCATTTTATCTGCCCTCATGTCATGGTTTGTACTAGCTGGTTCATTCTCCCTCAAATGCCTTCCCTCCATTTCCATGACTTCACACTTCTCAATTGTCCATTCTCTGTTATCTCTTCCTTTTCAATCCTGCTTCACATTGTTAAGCGTTCTGCACGGGTTGGACATGGTTATTTATAACTTTAAAAAAAGAGGATTTATTTATGAATTTGAAAGGCAGAGTTCAGAGAGAGAGAGAGAGAGAGAGAGAGGGAGAGAGGGAGGGAGGGAGGGAGGCGTGGGGGAGGGAGAGAGGGAGGAAGAGGAAGAGACAGAGAGCCAAGTCTTCCATTTTATAGTTCACTTCCCAAATGGCCCCAACAGCCAGAGCTGGTCTGAAGCCAGAAGCCAGGGGCTTCCTCTGGTCCCCCAGAAGGGTGTGGGGGTCCAAGGGTTTGGGTCAGCTTCCACTGCTTTCTTACGTGCATCAACAGAGATACTGGATCACAAGTGGAGCAACAGAGACTTGAACTGGCATCTATATGATATACCAGCACTACAAGTGGTAACTCTACCACTAGGCCACAGTGCTGGCCCCTATTTGTGACTTTTACAGTACATTCTTTCTTGGGTAATTTTGTTTGGCATTATATGATGCTTTCCAAACACTTATCTCTAGAGCAGAAAGATATGCTCATTCAAAGCTTGCATTGATATCGCCACTCCCCAGGATTCTCAATCCTAATATTTCTAAAGTGGACTGTTGAGTCCACCTGCTACTCAAATCTCCCTCACCTATTCTCCCAGATCTATAAATGACACTGCATCCAATCAATCAACTGTTCATGACAACAGTCCATGACTCATTCTTAACCATTTTCTTTCTCTCATCTCCCTCACCTCTAGCATGTATGTTCACCCCTTTAAGTGATAATTGTGCTTATGCTCTTCCCACTTACTGATCCATTCACTACACAGTGCTGTGATCCAATTTTTCATAGTATTTGATCTCTCTCCTTAAACAGATGGTTTAGTTCTTTAATGACAGGGATTATGCTGAATAGTGATAAGTTATATGAATACGTTTATAGAATTTATCAAACATATGCATAATTTATCAAAACAATTTTGAAGAAAGGAAGGAATGAAAGCTATCATCAGTTAAATACTTCTAATATTCAGACAATTTTATATTCTATGGGCATTTGGGTCTTGCATAAAAGATGATGAAAAGAACTGGGAATGAGTAACGTGGGAATTAAAGGAAGAATAAAATGAAAGTATTATTATCCCAACTGAAATAGGAATTTAAAAGTTCAATGAGAGCTGGCTGGTTTAAAATCAAAACTGGAAGGCTCATAAATAAAAGCCTATGTTTCATCAAATAAACATGGATTTTATGTGTAAAATCAGATTTGGGTTGACACAGCTAATTCATAAGCATGGTTGTTTTTCTCTCCTCAATACGAATTTTGGAAAAGTAAGTATGTAAATGGATAATATTTGCTTTTACTTCCAGATAGGTGAATGTGAGCCTAGTTAAAGAAAATGCGTTTGTCATGAATATGACTCTAAGCCCTGTGCCTCTTGTGGTAGCATGTATTATTTTAAAGTACAAGAGAACTGACAAAGCAGTGCCTATGGTGTTTCTATAAATGCTATAATGGGGTAGGGTTCTGAAGTGGAACATCATGGTATACTCAAATGATTCCTTAAAAGCTCTATTTTAAACTATTTAATCTCCTATTTGTCTGAAAGTTGTTCCCCTATCAAGAAAATAATGTTGACATTTTTGACCAGGTTTCAAATAAAATAAAATTTTGAACTATCTAAAGGAAAATACATATAAGCATAAAAATTATTACCAAAAATGACACATGATGGCAATAAGTAAAAAAGTAAGTCTAAAATATTAAGACAACAGGCCGGCGCCGCGGCTCACTAGGCTAATCCTCCGCCTAGCGGCGCCGGCACACCGGGTTCTAGTCCCGGTCGGGGCGCCGGATTCTGTCCCCGTTGCCCCTCTTCCAGGCCAGCTCTCTGCTGTGGCCAGGGAGTGCAGTGGAGGATGGCCCAGGTGCTTGGGCCCTGCACCCCATGGGAGACCAGGAAAAGCACCTGGCTCCTGGCTCCTGGCTCCTGCCATCGGATCAGCGCGGTGCGCCGGCCGCAGCGCGCTGGCCGCGGCGGCCATTGGAGGGTGAACCAACGGCAAAGGAAGACCTTTCTCTCTGTCTCTCTCTCTCTCACTGTACACTCTGCCTGTCAAAAAAATAAATAAATAAATAAAAATATTAAGACAACAAGTATTTCAAAGTTCAGCTGTTCAAAAAAATCAAAGATCTCTTGGGAATTTCCTACAGCAAGGTATTTCTTCTATGTTTCCTGTTCTTTGCATTCTGAAGTTTGTACACTTTAGCTGACTTGGACTTGACTGTATTCTTGGGAAAGTAGTAAAGAAAAATATGTCATCGGATTGAAAAATGGGAAAGAGCAAAACAAATTTAAAAATGTGCTAAATTTTAGATACCCACCCAAATGGAAATGAAGAGAAAATATTTTGGATTGTCATTCTGCTCTCATCTCGCAGGCAACCAATTTCCCAGGGAAATAACACATCTTCAGCTAAGGCAAAATATTGAAAAAAGAACCCTAACTTCATGATGACATTATGTGATCAGCACTCTATTTGAAAGCCATACTTTTGGAAGACATTCACACTTCCTCTTTAAGGAATACACTACTACCAGTTTATACAACTACTGATGGGAAAATAATAAACTCTTCCTAGAACAGTGTCTTGACAGCAACATTGGTGGAACTTAACATGCAGAAAAGATGTTTTGGCACACTTACTTCACACGAGGAGCCACTATACCCTGGTGGACACTGGCAGACTTCCACAGCTGCTGCGACATTTGCATCAGTAGGATAGGGAACGGCAGATTCAAGGTTAACAGAGCTCAGTCTGGAGAGGAGAGGAAAATGGACGGTAAATAAGGAAACACATTCTTAAGTGCTATACAGCTGGAGGCATGGCACAGCAACGGTGATAGAAATACAAGCAAATTATCTGTGTGGAGAAAGAAGGGTAATGACCACCCCTAACCGAAGCTCTGGTCATCCCCTGTATTAAAGTCTGCTCAGTTAACAGTGCTGAGAGACTCCTGTTATGGCTCAGCAGCTTAAGTCAGCGTCTGGGACACAGAGAACCCATACGAGCAAAGGTTCAAGTTCTGGCTGCTCCACTTCTGATCCAGAGCTCTGCTAATGTGCTGAAAGCACCAGAAGATGGCCCAAGGACTTGTGTTCTTGCCACACACATAGGAGACCTAGATGGAGTTCCAGGCTCATGGCTTCATCCTGACCCAGCTCCTTCCTTTGTGGCCATTTGGGGAGTGAATCAGTGGATGAAAACTCTCTCTCCATATCCCCCTCCCTGCTCTTTGTAATTATTTTTTCAAATATATAAACAAAATTTTTTAAAAAATGGGCTGAGAGTCAACACCACCATCATCATATGCTGCGAAGATATTAGAACATTCCTCGTTTGATTCTTAGCTATGTCATTTGGTTTTCTTTTTGAAACAGGTGGCAGATAGTTTAAAATCATATGGTTGAAATGATTCTTAAAACAGAAAATATTGTCATGATTGCTTTATCTTAACATTTGAACTAGAAAAGCAGGAGACACTGTCAATATTCATCTCAGGTTTTAAGTTGAAAGAGAAGATGGAAGAAATTTTGGTTTCCTTTTCTCCAAGATAAATCTCTATGTTGCCAGTAGCTTGTATCAGTAGGAACCATTTCTTTGTTTTTGACATAAATTTATTGTTCTCTTATTGTTCTTATCTATGGTCTTCATTTTATTGGCACTTCTATACAATCTGATGAGTGCAAAAGAGTAACTTACCTTCACTCACTATGTTAAAGAAAAGATGGTTTGGCCAAACTGAAAATTTGAAACTAATTTGTTATACAAATCATATATACATATACACATCATACATATATATGAATATATGGATATATATCTTAATATATATTCATAATTTAAATATTTGTTACTCTTATCTCATTAGGCCTCTTGTCCATTTTTAATAAAATAAAAATTATCAACTTAATTATTAATAAAAGTCTCAGGAGTCAAAGTTGAATTCATATCCTGTCTATAATATTTACCAGCCTTGTAACCCAGAAAAGAACAATTGATGCTCTTTAGTTCTCAATTTTCTCAGCTATAAAATGGAGTTAATATAGTAGTCCGCACATCATGAGCTATGATTAAATGATGACATGAAGCATTGAATACAAAGTTCTTGATATAAGATTTAACACAAAAATGATTATATAATCCTACATATTAAAATACATTCATTGACTGTTGATAGGACAAAAATGACATGAGTAGTATAAGACATACTATTTATATCCCCAAATAATTTTAATATATGAAAATAAATTTAACTAAACTGTAACAGCATAAAACTAAATGGCTACTATTGACATAATTATTTTTTTAATTTAATTTTTTTTTTGACAGGCAGAATTAGACAGTGAGAGAGAGACAGAGAGAGAAAGGTCTTCCTTCCGTTGGTTCTCTCCCCAAATGGCCGCCACAGCCGGCACTGCACTGATCTGAAGCCAGGAGCCAGGTGCCTCCTTCTGGTCTCCCACATGGGTACAGTGGCCCAAGCACTTGGGCCATCCTCCACTGCACTCCCAGGCCACAGCAGAGAGGTGGACTGGAAGAGGAGTAACCGGGACAGAACTGGTGCCCCGACCGGGACTAGAACCTGGGGTGCTGGTGCCACAGGCGGTGGATTAGTCTAGTGAGCCATGGCGCTGGCCTGACATAATTATTTTTAAATACGATTGTCAGACCGTCATAATACATTGTACTCTTCCTTTAACTAATTGACTTTTGCTAGGATATGCATTTTGAGTTTCTTTCCCAAGAGAAGGGAATTTATAGTTAATTAAGACCTAACCAGATTGGAGAATCTATGTAGTAATCAAGCCAGAGAACATAGCAAAGAGCGGTGTTTAAACATATGCTCAACAGTGACAGCATTTAACCAAGATGTAAATTTTCTAAAATCTTTATGGTTTTTACCCCATTTTATTAACCCTAAACACTGACTAGTAATTTGGATTATATATGAGCTCACATCTGATCAAGGAACAGGAAAAGGAAGTCGGTTAAAAATCTCAGGAAACAGGCAGTTGGATAGAATATTCCTACGTGCTGAGTGCTAGCTGATATTCTTGAAAGACAAGAGTACTATTTTTTGTTGCAGATAAATTCATGCATTGCTATTTCTTGGATGCCATCTTCTCTAGTGTCATAGCTTGGAGAAACTGATATAAGGGCTTGGAGTGTAGTTATTAAAAATTATTGCCTACAAGTGCTTAGGTTACATGTGTCACTTGAAAACCACTAAATGGCCAATTTTTTTAGTAACATTAAACATTTGAAGGTGTTGTGTCACAGGTATTTCTTTTCCCTTTTATTATTTGAGATGACACATAACATAAAATTAACCACTTTAAAGTATACAATTCTATATAACTTAGTACATTCATAATTTTGCATAACTACCACCTCTACCTAGATCTAAGACATCTTCATCAGCTCATGTGAAAACCTTGTACCCATTAAGCAGTAATTCTCTATTACTCTCTTCCTCTTCCTAAAGTCCCCATCAGATACCAATGTGCTTCTGTCACTATGGATTTACTGATTCTGGATATTTCTTATTAATGGAATCATGCCATGTGATTGGTTTCATTTAGCATCACATTTTTGAGGTCTATCTTCATCGTAGCATATTAATACTTCACTATTTTTCATTACTGAATAATATTCCACTGCATGCATATTATGTATTTTGTTTACCAGTTCACCTGTTGAAGGCTGTTTCCACATTTTGGTTTACATAAATAATGCTGCTATGAATGTTAACATATTTCTGAGTGCCTATATTAAAATATTTTAGTGTAAACTTAGAAGCAAGAAACTACTCAGCACCATAGGGTTTGGAAGAGAAACAAAGAATAGTGCTTATATTTGTTGACATGAGTTTATGCACTAGTCCTTGAGAGTAGTGCCTTTTTCCTTAACATTAAAAATTATTAGCATTTAATAATTTGTTTATAAGATACTGTAGGATAGTTCAATAAATGCTTATAATATGTTGATAAAATCAGAACAGCAAACATTTCACATTTTGTCATTAGCTTAGGTTTGGAAACTTTGAGCTTCTTTTTTGATTCATTCATAAAATATATAGTAGATTATTGTGAACTATAGTCACCTCACAGCAGCATCTTTATTTCATTTTTTTATATTCTCTATGGATTTACTTCAGTCATTATCCTAAGTAAAATAAGCAGACTCAGAAAGACGAATATCACATATTTTCTCAAATTTGGGAATAGTGATATTGTTTAATCAGCTATATATGCAGCATGAGTGTCTGAATACATGCTCAGTATGTTTTTGCCAGATGTAAAAAATACATGGGTAGACAGAAAGATGGATGGATAAACTTATGTAAGTCTATTCAACTAACTAAAAGCTTAAATAAATGAGCAAATAGTTGAATATAGTTGAAATTACAATGACTAACATATTCTATGGCAGACGACACAATAAGGCCTGTTAATAACATTTCAGATGAACAAACCCATGCAAGTAAAAGACAAATAAAGTGTTTGATTTGACACAGAAAATAAATGAGAAAGTGTTAGAATTAGGACTGGAGGCTAAAGGCAAGTGCTCACCTGAATGTATTGTGACATCTAACTTCCTGGAATTAATGGACTGTCACATAATAAACCTATCATTCTGATTATTTTCACTTCAAATTTGATGATTTCATGGTTGATATGCTAGTAGATTATCATACAACAGTTTGTTCTGATTTACTAAAAGCAAATTGCACTACTGTACATAAACAAACTCCCAGAATTTCCAATGTAAAATTGATATACAAAACTTAAAGATGGAGTAAGTTTCAAGATGAAAAAATGAGCAATTGACTAGGGAAGAATTGAAAAAAATAAAAACGATACAAAAATATTTTCAGTGACCTGCCAAATTTCATTTGTCTTTTGAACAACAGATGTTCTTCTGCTTAATTTGTGTAGCCATTTTGAGCTATGAGAAATTTCAACACTGAGACATCTTTCTCAGTAATATTCCACATTAGTATGCAGCTAGCAGTTCCAATGTTCATTAGGTTCTGCTATTTGTTAAATGGGATTTTAATGCATTTAACCATTTTAAGTGTTACTCATGAAAAAGCTACAGTTTACTTTTTTCTTTTAATATGGTCATTTTATTTTCTTGAAATGAGGCTGCATTCATTTAAATACATAATGTTTGCAGCATTAAAGTACTGAACTTTGGAGATGTGTGAACTATTAACAATCTGTTAACTAAGTTAAAGGCTTTAGCTCACTATATCTTATTATGACTTTAAAACACAGATAATATGATGAATGAAAACACATAATATTTAAGAAGTTATCAAAATACTGAAATTATCTCAAAATGGTAACCTGGTAATGCCTTAAAGACTGTTCTTAATATTTTGTTTCACTACATTTCCCACCAGAGTTTTATATATTATCCTACTCTGAAACAACCACCATGAAAGATTATGCTTTGGTATTAAGACTCTTAAATAATTGGTTTTATACTATCCACCTTTATTTTATATTGAAGACCTCTATTTTACTCCATTTAAGAAAATATTATTTTCAGCAAATAACCATAGATAAAGATTTTTATTACTGTTAAATGTTTGGTTGTGTTTTGTTTTTGTCAAAACATAAGATGATCATTCAGAACTTTCTCTAGACTCTGTCTTGTGGAAATTAAACATAGTATTGTTCAATTAGAGGAGGCTGATAATTTTTCTAAGTTTATTTACGTATTTCAAAGGCAAAGTGACAAAGAGGAGACAGAGATTTCTCATCTACTAGTTCACTCCTCCAATGTCCTCAACATCTAGCGCTAGGGCAGGCCGATGCCAGGAGGCCAGAATTTCAACCAGGTCTTCCATGTGGGTGGCAGGGACTCAATCACTTGAGCCATCACCTCCTGTATCCCAGGACTGCATTAGTAAGACACAGGATCAGAAGTGGTGTAGGCAGGACTTGAACCAGGGATCTGATGTAGGATGTGGGCATCCTAAGTGGCAGCTTAACCCATGGCACCACAATGCCTCCTCTGTTTTCCAGTGTATCTATTCTTTTTATTTTTCTTTTGAAAGGCAGAGCAACAGGGAGGTAGAGAGAGAGAGAGAGAGAGAGAGATATTGATTGATTGATTGATAGTTTTTACTGCATTCCTAAGTAGGCAAGATAATCATTCAGTAATGTCTAAGAAAGGCCACATGAAAGACAGCACAACATTTCCTCCATTTGCAATTCCACATCAAGTAAGGGAAGTAACTGATAGATTCTGATTTTGTTGCAGTCATTTATGAACAAAATATAGAAAAAGCCCCCATAAGAATTTGTCTTTTTCCCTAGTACTACCAGTATGTATACTTCTATCATGCCATAGTTATTATACCCTAACTGTATGTATCTGCCTTCCCTACTGGAGTATGCTTTCTTCGAATTCAATAATTTCTCTCTCCTTGTATCCTTGTCGGGTGGCCTAGAACTATCACACCATAATAGTTGGTGCTTACTGTCTTCTATCTTCTGTGCTAACAGGGGCTTGAAAGATATTTCACTTAAATATCACTATGCTTTTATGTATATTTACAGATTAAGAACATGATAAAGAAGTACATTCCCCAACATAACACAGTCGGCACGTGGTACAGCACACAATTCAAAGCCAATTTGGACTTCAAAACCATTGGTCTCCTTGATACCATATGTTGCCTCCCAACATATGATAAATAGAAAACCAGGTGTTTTATAGATGTTTGTAGATATCATTTGATCATTTCATCTTTAATTTTGAATGCAAAAGATTTTTTCCCACCATTTACAGAGGAGAAAACTGAGATTTAATGAGATATGTGTGGAAGGTGCTCATTAAATGTTCACAGTCTGACTGAATCCAATGTATACAGAATATCCTTGGGAGGTAGTCCAAGATAATTAAGAGGAAACACATGCAGAGTTCACCTGTTACTTGACTTCAAGAGTGTTGTATGAATCTTTTTTAAGCCCCTAGTGTCTTTATCAGTACAGTTTCTTCAAATGTAGTTACCTGGATCATTACATTCAAAAGGCAGAAGCACACTATCTACCTATTTTCATAATCATCAAACAGTCCTTTGTTTGCAAGGATTTTTACCCTACTTACTATAAAAATTCTATATAAGCTTTTAAAATATTTTCAAAAAATCCCAAATTTCCTCTCAGTGACATGTGAAAATATCTTGGCTGGGAAGGAGTCTGTATTTATTTTCAGGCAATAAAGACATAGGAGGCTTATCATGAGAAATTTATAATGGGCTTGGTTTCACTGTGATAACACCTCCCAAATCTCAGTGGCAACTCAAGCCTGTAGGGGATTTTACACAAGTAAACCTTTGTTCAGCAACTAGAAGATCAAAACCATCAGTGCAGCTGACCTCCACGTGCTGTCAGTATTCCAGGTTGTTTTGATCTTCTGGTTGCTGAATAAACTCCAGAGACTCTCGCGGTGGCAATTCGATGTTTTTCCTCAGGAAGAAAAACACACCTTATGCTCAGATTTCATTGGCTCAGCCAAGCCATATGACCGCATCTATCCTCAAGGCTTAGAGAAATGCAGTATCCTAAAGGATGAGACTGAAAATTTGGTAAACTTTACCTGTGTCTACTGCAGGGTGAAAGGAAGGAAAGGAGGCAGAATTCCACATTTAATAGATGCTCAAGATTATGGATGCTGGAGGTCAAAATCAAGGATGCTGCTAAACTCAAGATTTGGAGAACTTCATACAGAAAAATCACAGATTATGTTGATTTCTGTTACATTCTTAAAAGAAAAATGAAAAGTTTTCTATTTTCTCATCTTACTTGTGAGAATAGTAAGGAGCAAATCAATTTTATTTAATGAGTCTCCCAGCTTTCTGGAAAAGAATGGCAATGAGACCAATCATAATCGTGGAAATGTTCATGTGTGCCTTATTCAAGATGTTTCCACGTTTTAACGTACTTGAAGATGATGTTATCCTTTAGAATTAGACAGGTCCAATTAACACCTCATTCCATTCTTACAGTGACCTTTGGAAGTTGACAGAGCAACTGTCTTCCTTATTTTACAGAAGTGACTGAAGTCTGCCGAGGTCAAAGCCATACTTACATTACCAACTATCAAATGGCTAAATTGCAAACAGAAGTCAAAATCCATGACCTGCAGCTCAGATCTCCTTCAACTCTTCGATTCCATCTAACTGTATAACTGAATAATCCAAGCCCATCAACTCAGGCAACTACCACCAAAGTAAATCCTCCCCAAATAAGCTTTAAACCTGAACTTCTGTTGAGATAGTTTCAATTTGCTTGTGCTTCCACACAAACATACCAAGTCAGAAGCCTACTGTGCAGCACAAGTTGAAATCAATTAGAGTGATGTTTTACAATATGACTCCATCTAGTCACAATCTAGATCAGAGATAAGTAAAATATCACAAGCTTGCTGACTCAGAATTCATTCTTGCAGTTCACCTGTAGAGAAAGGGTTTCAGATCTGACATTGGTTTTTACTTCTTGAATCACAGCCCTGCAGGTGATCTATGTGGCAGAGTGAAGCTCTATGCCAGCTCACTTAGCCCCATTCCCTGGGTGCATCACTTAGGTGTGGGGAAATCTCAGAAGACTTCAAAGTAAATCAGTGATTTTAAGAAGGGTAGACACTGAAATTGTCTGACATAAATCAGGGGGGAATATCTTTGGATTAACCAGGCTGAGAAGCATTGCTGACAAAAATAAACAAGCCCCTGGCCACTTTCTGTCAGTTTGGTTGTCATTCATTTTGAAAGCTGGAGGATTCATCTCTTTGTACTGTTTAAACATCTTGACAATCCCTATTTACAAAATGGGAAAAACATAATTAATTCATAAATGCTGCTCTCATCTTCATGGCATGCTAACCCAGCTCCTAGCAGAACCGCCGATGTGCAGAATTGCCTATGCAAAAGAGGAGCACTGTTTGGCAGTGGTTCTGTTTACAAATCTGCAGTTCTTCCCTTTGGGAAATGGTAATGATGATTATACTTCGTTGAAGTACTACAAGTGAAAGAGAAACTAGGTAGCAAAAGTCAATGATGGGTGTGGGTAATATCAGCAATAAAAATTGCAATATTGGAGACACTGCTTTGATTAACACTATGCCAAGTTGTTAGTTTGGGGTCACATTTGATCATCTAATTTAGTTGCATGTAGAAAAAAAATTCCATTATATCTTGTATATTAGGGTAGAAAAGGAGAAGGGGAAAGAGCTCATCTAGACATAGTTCAAGTTAAAATTCTGTCAAGACAGGGTCAGGTGCTTGATGCGGTAGTCAAGACACTGTTCTTGGGATACCTGCATCCCTGTTGGAGTGCTTGCTTTGAGTCCCAGCTACTTCACTTGTGATCAAGGTTTCTGCTCATGTGTACCTTGGGAGGCAGTCAATTGTGGCTCAAGTACCTGAGTCCCTGCCTCCAAGTGGGAGACCTGGACTGAGTTTCAGGCTCCTGGTTTCTGTCTAGCCCAGCCTCAACTGTTGTGGGCATTAGGTGTGAATTAGAGAGAAGGAAGATCTTTCTTTTTCTGTCTCTTTTAATTAAATAAATAAATAAAATTTTAAAAATTTTGTTAGACAAAAATATCATTGTTTTAAAAATGCAATTTATAGCAGCCCACAGTCAGTCAAATATGGGCACTATCTCATTGAAATCAGGGAGTTCTCTCTTTGAAGAAAATAATGGAGAACAAGAGGGAGCTACCCTGTGAAAGTGTCTGGGCAATGGTCACTTTGTGTGATCTTTACATATCATTTTCACAAAGACCCTGAAAACTAGTCATCATCCTTATTATCTCCACTTGTAGTTGAAGAAATCAAGGCACTCAAAGACCAATCACTGACCAAAGTTCACACATCTAACAAGCAACAGAGCTTATTGAATTCCTGCTCAGTTTGGCTCTAAAGCTTCCACTTTCCCTTCTATGTCATGTGGCCATTATAGTCATTCAATGTTTTATGGAGATGTGATTATTTTAATGCAAAGGCTTACATTTCTTATTGCACATTATATACTGTTAGGTCAAATACTAGTTAATGATTTAACGGAAGAAAATACTTTATAAACAAATTTTTGTATTTGGGTCTCTTCAAAGCACATCTCATTTGATCCCCACAATCTAAGCCATTGTAAAGGAGACTTTAATTTCTCAGATGGTATTTTTCATCTAGAAAGCATTCTTTTTCCCAAGTTCTGGCAGAACAGCTAAGATGACATTAAAAATATTAAGGGCCAAGAGGAATTTATTCTAGACATTTAACATATTGAAGACTTAATGGTTGTACATTTCAGAACCAGGGCTTACTCTCAGCTGCTACTTGAAGACAAGAAACCCTCAAGATCTATCAAATCTCTATTCAGGCACAAGAACGTTTGCTCCAAGGTCAACGTGTGAGTGCGGTGAGATGCAGTTCTGGTTTTTACCTGAAGATGGCATCCATCACAAAGCTGTATGTGATCTGTATGAGGATTCTCTCTACATTGGCCAGCACTGTCATAAATTCTCTCCTACTGACTGGAAAATGTGTGCCATGTCTGCCAAACGATTCTTCTTTAAGCAACAATGTATGAACGTGCTCTTCAGATGGTTGCAGATAGACTTCCTCTTGAGCTGTGCTGATTCTCAAGTCATTTCCCTAGAAGGAGGAAACAGTAAAATTGAGAAGAGCATACAATGGGGTCCAAAGTATCTGAGTAGGACTAGAGTAGGACTTTAGTTCCAGGTTAGAGTTCTCTGTCATTTAGCGTTTTTGGTACCCCTGGAGGGAAGGCAATGTAATATAAGTGTTAGCCTTAGCCAGACACAATAAAAGTATAAGCTTCTTGGTTTTGCATGGCCTTGCTTTCTTGCTAATTTAACTACTGAATACCTGGCAACTTGTAAGCATATATATCACAAGCATCTTGAGGTTTTATGTAAGACACATTATATATTTGAAATATATTATTTTCTGGTGGATATGGGCTACATAGGGCAATAGAAATAATTTAGTTATTATTTGAAAAGATTTTATATATGGGGAGAAACAAACAAGAGAAAGGCCTGCATTCTAACATTCATAAAAGGCTCATTGGCATAACAAGTATATGGATTGACCTCAAACATTTAAATCATCCTTACTGAAATTCATTCCTAAGAATGGTATGTCAATTCTCCACATTTCACACTTGGAGATTCCCTTTTATCTTAAAAAAAAAAATCCCAAGATATAATCATGGTGTGTGTGTGTGTGTGTGTGTGTCCATATACCTCATTATCCAATTCTGGAAAATATTCATTTTGAGAAAGGTACTTTGGAACTTTGTCATTGATTTACATCAATTAAGGGTTCAAGACAAAGAACAACATAACCTGGTGTACAAATGGCACCTATTCATTTGGATTGATAACATGAATGTAAGTGTGTGTTATAAGTACAAGTTTTCCACATGGTGAAATTGTCTGTGGTCCATCAAATGTTGAAAAGAATTTCCCCTATACCTTTTTTGCCTAAATTAGGATTTTGAGGTCAAAATTCAACTAAGTAAGTAAGTTTGCTTTTTCATTTATATCTGCCTAATATTAACAAGGAAGCAGAATATAAAATCTGTTTGAAAGCAAGGGAAGGTGGAAAAAATACAACTATGCAAATCAGCATTCATCCTTAACACTTCCATCACATGCATACTGTTGGAAACACGGCCCTTAAGTCTCAAATTTCAATTTCAACTCTTGGTGCAAAGGTCACCTTTATCATTAAGACCCAGGAGACATTCTGCATTTTCTAAATATGTCTTACAGTAAAATGTAGGAGTGGAATAAAAGAATCCCAAGGTACATTTATCCTTAATAGATAATTTAACATCAAACTAACCCATGTGAAAAACAGCACCTGTAACTCAGATGACAAAGATGTGATAATGTTCTACACGGAAGACAGTGGAAGGACTCTACCTCTAAGATGATCATGAGCTGGAGAATGCGTTCTATATCTTCTTCTTCTTCCTCGAGGTCGTAGGATATGGTAAATGTCAGCTGTCCTCCTGCAGCTGGGAGCTACGAGAGAGGAGATGGGTAATTATTACAAGACAGGAGGTAGACTACTAAATCATATTGCACTTTTTATTTTAAAATCATTTTATTGCTCTAGAGGGCAGGATTTGGAAGATGCAGAAGGCACTGGTGTACAGAGTAGGGATGATAGACATTTCTTTAGGACCAACCTTTCTATAAACTTTCTCCAACAATCACAAGCTGACATAAATATAATTGCAAGTACTATTTCCCTCTGTATTGCAGGCTTGCTGAAATAGAGTAAGTTCCACAAAACCAAACACGGCCCCTCCTGTCATCTCCTCAGTCTATAGTTTGAGCTTTACAATTCCCAAACAGAGAAGGATTTTTGTCAAAATTGGGAGATTTCCACTTATCCCTGAAGGTCATTCACTTTCTGTGAGTCTGACTGCTTTCAACAAAGACATTCCTCCAACTGACAGGCACTGGAGACCACAAGCCAAGTTGGGAAATGTTGTTGGTCAAAGGATAACAACAGGTTAGCAGCAAATTTTAAATTGTATTAAAATTCAATCAAAACTGCCAGAGAAGGTAAACTTTTCCCTAGGTAATCAAATCAGCTTAGTTTGAATGAATGCTTTATCCTCTTTTCATTAAGCAAACTTCTTTCCTCCTAACACGCATGCCAAGCCCCATCTAATGTATGCTTGAGGTTTACATTCTCTGACACGGCCAGTAACCTTGCAGAAATTAAAAAAGATAAAAAGGGAAAGCAAGATCATGTCTAGGGCAGGAATCAAAATCAGAGCTGTGAGTGACAGATCCAATGCAAATGCTGCAATCCTTTTCTCAAAATTTCCACCGTAGCATTTTAAATAAAGACATTCACAAGGCAAAGCTGGTGATCTGTATGCTGTTGTCTGCTCCATGCTGACACACAGAGACCTAGCTCGGCAGCCGTCGGCTCTCTGTGGCCTTTCACGGGCAGACCCTGACCAGAAAGCAATGCTGATGCACTGGAGAAAGGAGGAAGAGCTCTGATTGCTCTCAGTTGTTCCAGGGGGAACAGCACGAAGCTCGCCATGGCTGCTTGACCACATTTTTAAATTGCATCACCCCAGTGTCTTCTAAGAGCTTATTACATGGTGTTCTATGAGAAACTAAAATCCAGAAAACTTTTATCCCCTTGCTTCACTGAGAAATGTCCCTACTGTTATGTCTCTTCCTACGTAAGATAATAAATATCTGCCCAGAGTATAGCACTTGGCATTATTGTGAGTAATGAGGGGTGAACCTATGGAAAAGGTTTTGGGTTTTATTAAGACATAACATACTGGTTCAAATCAGCAAGACATTTTCCCTACAACAGGAGTTAGAATGGCAGCAGAGGAATGTTTTACAGATTTTAAAGAGAACTGAATCCTATAGAGCTTTATAAATAAAAATATCGGGTTGGAGGTAGAGATTACATTTGGGAAGAGCATTGACACATACAACTATAATGTTCCACAATTTTGGAATTTCCACGTATTTTTAATTATTAAAAATGTGCATTATGTTATACTATTTTTCATATTTTTCTTAAAAAAAGATAATATCCAGTTAAAAAATTCCTACATATTCCAAAGTGAGAAGTTTTGAAAAAGCACCTTTCCATTTTTGCTAATAAGGAGACAAAGTGTGGGCAACCTGAACTTTCAAGGTTTAAGACTATAGCGAAAAATGTTCACTTATAGTATTTAATATAGTTACTGTGCTTATTTATAATAAAAATAACATAATAATGCATAGCACTTGGAGAAATGAGAAAAGGAAGAAATAAATACATAGAAAAGGGGAGTGGCCTGATGTATATTTGGAATATAAATATGAACTAAGGAGAATTAATGCATTCAATTCTGCCGAGGACTAAAAAAAAAAAAACATGTATTTTCATTCATACAGTGGCCTTTCAAAATGTTCATGTAAAACAATTAAAATATTTATTTTGGTGTAAAAAATTTTAGGAATCTATGTATATGAGGCAATCTTCAAAAATCTCATTCAAAATACATATTTTGAAAAACCTATGCATGAACTTCAAATGTTTTCTACATCTAAACAAAGGTTTCAAATTCTGCTTCCCACAAAGTTTTTGAGTTATCCCCAGATTTTATGGACCATTGTTTTCCAAACTCTTTCATGAATGTTTGATACCTATATTTTGGCACTATCAAAACATGTCTTGAATCACCTCCAAAGTTTATAGGCAAATCCATTTTACTTTTCAGTTGTATGAAAAACTGAGCACTTTAACATATGCATGATACTGCTACTAGATGTTTTATCTGAAAGCACAAATATTCACTTGTACAATATCAGAATTACAATTAGAACTGTGATCTCATCTAGACAATTACTTAGTAGAGAACACATATAAGCAACTTTTTAGAAAAGATTGCTTATATTACCCAACAAATCACAGGTTGCACTCATTTACTGTTGTATTCTTTTGTTCCTATTTTTTCTTCAACTCTATTGTTTCTTTAAAAGTTATAAAATTAAGCATTTCCTGATGTTTCCAGTTAATGTGTCTTTTTTTCTTAAGATTTATTTATCTGAAAGGCAGAGTTACAGATAGGCAGAGGCAGAGAGAGAGAACAAAAAGATCTTCTATTCCCTGGCTCACTCCCCAGATGGCCATAACGGCCATAGCTGTGCCGATCCGACCCCAGGAGCTTCTTCCAGGTCTCCCACAAGAATCCAGAGGCCCAAGGACTCAGGCCATCTTCTACTACTTTCCCAGCCCACAGCAGAGAGCTGGATCAGAAGTGGAGCAGCCAGGACTCAAACTGGCACCCCTGTGGGATATTGGCAGTGCAGGTGGTGCCTTTACCCTCTATGCCACAGTGACAGCCCGATTCAGCTAATGTGTCTTTCTCAAAGACTACACATCAACATATGAGAGATTTTGTAATGAATCAGTTGTAAGAGCTTCTTCTCTAGAGACATTATTTTTGGAGGAAAATTTTTGAGAACACTCGGAGCCTAAGTGGCCCTCTCTCATGCCTGTGGATCAAGAACTCCCTGCCTCCTGGTTACTCCTGCCTGTTGCAGATGCTGCCTTGGCTGGGCTCCTCCATGCCCTTGCCTCCACACTCTCCATGACCTCCTCGTGGTCCTGATCCTTATTCTTCATCAAATCAAATGTGCACAGGGCTGTCAGTCACCAGCGGACTGTATTGTCTCCTCCAGCTTGTATCTGTGCTATTTATTCATCTCCCCCTTGTATTGGTTTTTAGTTGCTGTAACAACACACTTGAAGCAGGTTGCTCATGAAGAAAATGATGTTTTAATTAGCTCAAAGTTTTGGATGCCTGATGCCCACATAGCATGGACAAGGCTCTTTTGGGAGCTCCCCTTTGACTGCTTCACCATGGCCAAGTGCAGGGGTGGGAATGTGTATGGGAGAAAGTGGCCACATAAATATTTTTGTTTAAAGATTTATTCATTTGAAAGTCAGAGTTACACAGAGAGAGAGAGGAGAGGTAGATAGAGAGGTCTTCCATCTGCTGGTTCACTCCCCATATGGCCATAATGGCCAGAGTTGCATCAATCTGAAGCCAGGAGTCAGGAGCTTCTTGCTGGTCTTCCACATGGGTGCAGGGGCCCAACACCTTGAGTCATCTTCTACTGCTTTCCCAGGCCATAGCAGAGAGCCAGATCAGAAGTGAAGCTGCTGGGACTCGAACCAGTGCCCATATGGGATGCTGGCACTGCAGGTGGTGGTTTTATGCCACAGAGCTGGCCCCATGAACTGAATCCCTTTAAACTATACTTCCAGTTGATCTAAGAACCTTCCTCCAGGCCCACCTCTAAATACCACAGTCAGATTAAGTTTCAACCTTCCTAATACCTCACTACTGGGATTAATCATCATTATTTAAAGCCCAGGGGACTCTGAAACCATATCCATACCCTACCATCCATGAAACTGAGATACAGGATAGTACAAGTCTTATTCCTATCAATGCATCCATTGTCTAACACTAGAACATCGTTAAAAATGTTTGCATGTTTATACATTTTATAGAGCAACCACTAACGTCCCTTTTGTTGCTTGTAACAACCACTAATGACCCTCTCTTTCAGTTTTCTTTTTCTTTTTCTTTTTTTTGACAGGCAGAGTGGACAGTGAGAGAGAGAGACAGAGAGAAAGGTCTTCCTTTGCAGTTGGTTCACCCTCCAATGGCCACCACGGCAGGCACGCTGCGGCCGGTGCACCACGCTGATCCGATGGCAGGAGCCAGGTACTTCTCCTGGTCTCCCATGGGGTGCAGGGCCCAAGCACTTGGGCCATCCTCCACTGCACTCCCTGGCCACAGCAGAGAGCTGGCCTGGAAGAGGGGCAACCGGGACAGAATCCGGTGCCCCGACCGGGACTAGAACCCGGTGTGCCGGCGCCGCAAGGCGGAGGATTAGCCTAGTGAGCCGCGGCGCCGGCCTATTCTTAATATTTATGTGAAATGTGATAGTTCTTAAGATTCCTGACTCCCTCGTCTTCATCACACTGAAGTTGCCTGTTCTGGCCACGCCTCTCTCTTACTTGTAGCTACATTTATGTTTTCACATCGTACATTCAGTGAGCGCATGTCTTTAAGACATTGAATCCTCCTTTGGTTTTTATTCTCAATAGATTCCCCTTTCACAGTTTAAAGTACATGTGTATCTCATTCCTCAATCTACATCTTTTAGCATATGCTGTGTTCCTGTACTGAGTTCCTTGGGCCACCATAGCAAAGTACCAGGGACGGAACAGTTTAAACTAGAGAAGTGCATCTTCTCACAGGGCTGGAAGCTAAAAGACTGAGGCCAGGTGGCAGGAGAGTTGTTTCCCGCCGAGGGCTTCTCCTCTTGGCTCGAAGATGGCCATCGTCTCTCCATGTAGGCCTCCATTTGTGTGTGTCTGTGTCCTAATTTTCTCTGCTTGTAAAGATACCAGTCTGATCAGAGCCCACACACTAATGACTTTGGCTTGTCTTAGTTACTACTTTAAAGAACCT